GCAATCATGACTTTTGTTGTTGTCTTTATAAGTAAACAATGTTAATGGGATTGATTGCATATATCACAATTACTCACCCTATTGACAGAACACTTTGGACAAAGAAAGCCTGTCTTAGAGCCCTTGAAGCACTTGTTATGAAGGAAAATAGAGCAATTTGTACACTGGACAACATCCTCATTCACATCAACAGCTCCACAAATACATTCACATCTCACTGGTTGTGTGCCAGCTACTGAGCTTATTTTTGTCATCTGTGTAACGTCTGACGAATCAGAGACAAGYGCTTGAGTGCCAACCAATGATAACGAAGGTGGAGACTGAATTCTTTCTGAAGAATTACAAGCTGATGGTTGAAAGGTTTTGTTGATGTCATTTATTTGTGACTGTAGCTGTGTTGCCTCCAATGTATTACATGACACTGGCTTTGYTGTTGGTGTATCATCAATACCAGATCCAGACAGAGGTTGTACATGTATAGGTTGTTGCATATCAACTTTGTTACATATCATAGTTTCTGTAGCTCGGTAAAACACTGGTGGTGCTTTTTCTGGCATGCACATGAGTGTGTCTTCTTTCTCCTCCATTGATGAATTTTKTATACATGTAGGCTTGCTTTTTTCAGTTAATATATCACATAATATTGGTTGAACAGTTCTGTCACAATTTGTATTATCACTATGAACACATGTACTAGTTGAAAGAGTTGCCTGTGTTTCGTCTAATGCATTTATTTTTGAGTAAAGTTTAGTTTGTTCTTTGTMACCTGTTGRGAGGATTTCTGTTGTTTTCAGTGYATTGTATGCAATTGGTTGTGTACTGTGGCAAGAGGCAGAAGTTGACTTTGTTATGTCCATTGAAGTACTCGACTTTATTTGTCCTTCACCAATATTTGACAATGATTCTGAAGACTGCAGTGCTATTTCAGATGATCCATTGATAGTAGGATGGTGACCAGCCTGGTTTAATCTAGTATCATGAGACTTTGGGTTATTAAGTATACAAGCTAAAACCTCAACTGTTTTTCCAAGACCCATTTCATCAGCAAGTATTCCACCTAATGGGGGATCAGGCTGCACATAGCATCTCGTTGTCAATCTATTAAGAATAATTTGACATTAAAAATTAATTGATTTCATACATTGAAAAAATTGATAACCTAAGCTTCCCTAGTAAGTATGTGTATGTGCATGTACATGAACATGACATACTTTTGCTTGCTAAAGGGTTGTCACTGAAAAATAGAAATGTCACCAAATTTAACTATTAAGACTGATAACTGTYATAGACATCAGACACAGATAACCAATGTGACAAAGGCCAAGATTGCATTACATTGTAATCCATATTAATTGGAAAATTACGTGAGCTATCACGTATCACATTTGTAATGCCCGAATAAGCAAGTAAACCAGTTCTGCCCCAGASTCGGTTGTATTTGGTTGTGTTTTCGTTTTCTCTGTGTGTTATATTTCTCCAAAAACTTATATCAACATGAACTTATATCAACATGAACATAAACAACTGGGTCTAGTGCAAATTTCAGTTTATGCTAATTGATGATTGCTGATCCGAGTTCTCAAGCTATACAGTCACATAATAATATAATTTAATAGAAAAGTTCTTGAATTTTCATTTTTGGTGTATTATAAATTGTCAATTGATTAAGTRTGATTTGTTGGCTTGGATCAAC